ACATCGGAGACGCACCGCAGATTCCTTGTTCCCATAAATGTCAACCGAAATGCTGAAATGCATTTTGGATTCAACCGGGTTACTTAAGTAGAGTTTTAATATTTACTTTTATGCAGCGTAATCTCTAGATATTTCGATCACATTTAGAGTCACGTTTAACAGTCTCCACAAAGCATACGCCTTTACAAAATTCAACGTATGTAGTATGCCTTTTCTCATTAATTTTCATATCCTTTCTAAATCCAAATATTTTTTATTACAAAATTGCATTAAAATATTCTTCGGTGTACTCTTTTGATAACACAGGATGCCTTTTCCAAATTTCACACTTTGATCGAATATTTTAAAATGCTGCCTGCCGTTACACTGGCATTTAAAGTTCCCAATCTACACGCTCTGCACCTTCTGTCTAACGAATACCAAACATCACCCTAGGCTGCTTGGAAGGGACTACATAGTCCTCATGTAATCCTGTAATAGATGTGGATCAGGTTGCATAATTTATAGAAAATACATATAACTTGAAAGATAGGATTTATTATCACGGTTTTAAAATGCCATGATAAGAAACTCTTTCCTTAACATAAACTTGAGGAACGTATCATTTTCTAACAAATAGGTACAAGGAAGGATAGGCTTGCACAGGTTTTCTATATAATGCATTTGAAATTATAGTTGACTTTAAGAATTAATAAGAAAAGTGCATCCTAATTGCGTAGCCATTTTATAGATCATAACTTTTGTAGGTTGTTAGAAAAGCCGGCACGAATAGAATCTAAACAAAAATATTCACATTCTTTAATTTTTAGGGAAACCACAAGTTTTCAATTTCAACTAAAATTGTTACAAAATAAGATGCAAAAAGAGATGCATTTTGCTACATGTTGTACATAAATGTTTAAATGATGTCAAATAAATAAAATTCAGTAAACAATGTTATTTTCGTTTCTCCTTCCTCTCCAACAGTTGATATGGATAAGTTTTTTAAAAACACGAAAACAAACGGGAAGACCTCTTAGGCCTGCAATCAGGGGGTATCGGCACACGGATTTCCTTTCCATCGAACAAAGGACCCTTCTTATCTTGGTGGGCTGTTCGTGTACTAGAATTCACAAGAACTTTGGTTTAACTAAACTTAAAATACGCACAATTTTGTAGTTTCGGGATTCACTCGTGACTTCTGCTTCTCGTACGTTTACGTCACGTTAACCACCATGCCAAATATCATGATCAGTCGATTGGCGCGCTTGAACAGTCTACTGGTACATTAAAGGTGGCAGAAGGGGGACGGTGGCCAAATCATCGGATGCATCTTCCCAGCAACTCCACGCCCTCCCCGTAATAATGTATCTTAACGCCCTTGGTCCTATCACTATGCACTAAAAGTAGCGTCACTGAAGGTTTCTAACTGAATTGATCCTTTGCAATTCCTAGGGTCAGGTTTTAATGACTACTTCGTGATGTAGCCTTCTTGTCAGTCTCACATGCTCAATGGATGACACCTTATAATTATAGAGTTAGATGCCAGAGCATATGTGGCACACATTGTCGCGGCCGTACGGGTCGGCTGAATGAAAGAAGCAGTAGAGTTTGGGTCCGACAACAGGGGAAACTTCCTCGTGCAAAATCGGCGCAGCTTGCTGCCCCCACCTACATACCGGAATATGAGTTCGAAAATGTTGTCGTCACGCCGGAAAGAAGACAGACCAAGAATTAATTAAAGCCTGTGCACGGATTGGAACTCAATCCATCGATGTATCGACCATGTGCCGGTGTGCAGAACCCTGCATAGTCACCTCCAGACCTGCGTCACCAATTGTCAATTGGATC